GGGATCATACCTCGTTCGACCATTTCGGTAGTGGGTTCACCCCACCGTGGCCATAATGGTGAGCATAACTTGCTCCCTCGCTTTTAGTTGTCTCCGATGTACTGCAAATATTAGTAATCCGATTCGGCCCTAGGACCTGGCCATTGTGGACTGAACATTGGTGCGGATATCACCCGCACACAATGAGCCCTTCGTGGCCTAACTTAGTGGACAAGTCAGGATATGATGATTGTAGAAGACGGATGTCAACTCATGTAGGATAAGCTCATGGCCACGAGTCCCCTCGCCATGACCATTGGGCTCTACCTCCTTTTCTCATATTTTTTCCTAGCTACCTTATATGATTGCACCACCTTGACCATAACATTCCTTCGGATCTAGCAGGTGACAACCGCACTGCTGCGAACCGAGGGAATAGCAATGTGCCAATAGTTGCACGGCCGTGATGCCCTATGAGTTGGTTTGGATCATGGGACTGTATCTCTTCTCTCCAACCTTCGTCTGTTCCATGACAAGTTGGTCGAAAGAGTACAGATTCCATTCTTTTCTCTCTTTGGTTCTCAATCCTCGTCAATCCAGTAAGATGTGGATTGAGCCCCTTGCTTGTTTGGGGTTTATTGCGCTCTTGATTCCATTCCTTGATTCTCGTCAGCTTCTAGGGCGAGTGGATCAAAGGAAGGCGAATCTCGTGTTCTTCTCTTTTGGTCTTTCGTGCTCAAACCCCCGTATGCTTGTACCTTGTATGACCATCGCATTTCTTGATTTCCGCGGTGACAACCGCACCGCTAAGAACCCTAGAGATGTCTTAGTGCTAGTGCACCTAAGTCGGGTACCCTACGAGTGGTTTGCGCACTTGGTGTTTGTCGCTTCCTTCCAATGCCCCATCTTTCGTCGTGGCGCGAGTGTTGGAAGAAGTAGACCTTGTCCCTTGTTGTTCTTGCTCTTGTTGCACCATTAACCCGCTCTGTTTGATTCCGTCTTGCCCATGATGATTGGATCAAAGACCGGACTATTCCCTTTGGGTTAGCGAAGCTATGGTCTATGTCGTACCTCGGACCCATGCGTGTCGACCCGATCGGCCGTCTAAGACCATCTTTCCCGAAGATGTGTCTGAGAACATGACATGGATGTGCCTAGCTAACCCCCACATCTTTTGCCGTGTTGAACGACTCTCTTCTCGGCTCCCGACGTTATTGAGTCGTGTGGATCGAAGGGAACCGTTTGCGCTACCGCTTTCTACCATAGCGGACAAGCCAAAGTACATTGGAGCCAAGTCACAATAGTGTTATTCATTCTTGTCTGCTTCTTGTATCCAATAGTGACTTATGGGATAAGACTATAAGAGCCAAACCCCGTCGTTCTACCTTCATTGGGCCCGTCCCCCGATTCCCGTCCTTTCCATGACGCCCGGATCGAAGGACCTGAGCCGTGGTGTTGCTATGGATAAGCTTTGGCTTAAACCATCTATCCTAAAGCCATACTGGCTTGGCCATGACTTAAGCTTGTGCTTAGCAAACCACCACTTGTGATTCTTTGGCCCGAGGAAATCGGACGACCGCCAAGAGGGCTAAGCCGTGTATCTCTTATTGCCTCACTGGTGTTATTGGATTTTCCTACGTCTTGTCGTCTTTTCGAGTGTTGAGTGCTCTCTTGCCTTGCGTGTCGCTTCGCGGAGTAGCTGACAATCAGACCAAGAGAACGTGGATGACGACAAGGACTGCGGAATGGAGTCAACGCAGGAGGAGGTGACCCTGCTAATGGAACACCAATGAATGAAGAATTGTACCACTACTACCTCGACATCACAGGTGTCATGGCAGCACCCTCTTTTAGAGAATCCTATTAGACATTGCATAATAACTAGAACTGCTAGCGCTTTATAAATTATTCCTTTACTAGTACTTTGATGCATGCTACTATCTGAGCCATTATTACCCTGATGCAACCCACTCTACCACATCACCCTGCCTTGCGCGCTCGCTTATATATGCTTACTTCCCTGCTTGCTTGCATATTACACCACTATACTTATTATTAACTCCACTTCGCATTATGTCGGGGGATGTGATGCTGGTGGTGAACCCCCTGGGAATGGTTTGTCTATGGGTGCCGGACTTGGTGGTGTGTGAGCGTGCTGTGTGTGTCTTGGGTGCGTGGAGAGTGAGGGTTGTGTCGACCGAGCTGGAATAACGACGAGCCTGGTGCGAGTCTTGCCATGTGGTGCTACCTGGGCACTTGGATATGGAATACCTGTGGCGGGTAAATGGTAATTGGAGGTGGCCTTGGGTGTGAACCTCTGAGAGGTGGAGCCCGGGGTAGAGGTGCTGTGGTGGCACGTAAAATGAAAACCCTGATGAAGACATTCTGGCTTGGTCATCCCTAAGGACTTACTAGTACTCAGATTCACCGGGAATCCTTTACATCCCACTCGCCCTATATGGTGCGGGACGGTCGGACTACTTGGTAGAGCAATGCCACTACTGCTAGGCGAACGTGTGCAAGGAGGTACGGGGCGCGCGGTTTTCCCTCCGCACCCTTCCGAGACTTCAGGAGGCCTTGTGGACCCGGCTCTTAACATCCGGAGGGCCCCGATTCTGTCTACCACTCACAGTATCAGCCATCCCAGACTAGACTTGGGATGCTCCAGGGCTGAGAGGTAGGGTGGCATCATTCTAGGCTAGCAAGCGACCGGAATTCTGCCTAGGAGATACATGGCTCCGAGGATGGCTAATCTTGTGGGTATGTAAAACCTCTGCAGAGTGTATGGTTGATCGATCGATACATATACCGACTTGTCGGCTATGGACCTTTCCTTGGGTTTCGCTTAAACTAGATATGAGATGAGTCCTTCTTACCTCCCTCCAGGGTTGGGGTATCTTCCGGTCGTGAGCCTTGGGGGCTGCGGGCCGTTGAGACAAGGCCGAGAGGGAGTTGGCCTGTCGACTTGAGTGTGTGAGATGAGATATGGTGTGGCGGTGTGGAGATGGTTTGGGATGGATGGGTGGCAGATGGATATGGATGGTGTGGTGGTGAATGTGTTAAAAATTGGATATCATTATCATTATATTACTAATGTTATTTACTTCTCCTGCGCTAAGGATGCAAACCACAGCCAAATATTAGGATCGTCAGATCCCTTGTTTATCTTTTCCACTAAAGCTCATCGGTGCTGACCATGGCCTACACACATCTGGCGGTGTGCAGATTTCCTGCTTTCCAGAGATGCTGACTATAGAAGGATTCGAAGATCTCGTGCCTATGCTCAAGTTTGGTTCGGAGATGGAATCTACGCTGCACTACGCTAACTCTGATGATGCCCGTGAAGGAGAAGCCTTCACTCGATAGTCTTCCGCTAAATTAAGTCTGTAATAGGTGTGTTCCCTAGTGATGTAATATCTTGCAATCTTACGATGTATGACTGTGACATCGACTAAAATATGATAATATGATGAAATCAGTTATTAGTTTTATCATATTAAAATTTATTATGTGGATTTTCCCTCAAGAAAAATTGAGAATGTTTCACAACATCCATCCTGTTTCTCACGTTTTCTAGCTGTAACTCAATCTGTAAGTCAAGAGTTACCAGATCCCTTTATTCAGTTTCAGGTACCCTAGGCGATTCTGGGCAGGCGCCTTCGGCAGGCAGGACTGCAACAAAACAATTCCACATGTGCTTGTCCAGTGGTCCCACTAGACGTCGACACTCTCTAGGCCTTGTTTAGATTGTAAGTTTTTTCATCTCTCTCCATCACATCAAATCTTTAGAGTATTAAATGTAGATAAAAAAATAATTAATTACACAGTTTGATTGTAAATTACGAGACGAATCTTTTGAGCCTAGTTAGGCCATAATTGAACAATAATTATCAATTACAAACGAAAGTGCTACAGTGCCAAATAATAATTTCAAACATCAATCTAAACAAGGCCCTACCTAGGAAGATGAAAAACCATTCCACAGGTGCTTGTCCAGTGGTCCCGCTCGCCGCCGACACTCTCTACCTAGGAAGATGAGACTTCGCTCCGTCAAGACTTTCCTCATGCACCGGCTTGGGAACAAGCCGTTTCTCGAGGAGGAGCGGGGGATGTCACCAACTTGGTGAAGAACAGAAGGCACCTAAGGCAACGGAGGCAGCAGCGTGGGAGAAGCAGCTGGTGGGAAGAAGGATCAGGCGCGCCAATACTCGCGTCATCGGGCCGGACTGGCTGTAGGCCCATGTAGGCGTCGTAATTCTCCAGCCCATGTTATGGGAAGGGAGGTCCAGACTGCTGGCTCCTATGTAATGCTTGCGTTGCGTGCGACAGAAGATGAACCTGAACTCGAAACAGAACCGAACCGAGCCGTTGGGCGTCGGCGGCGAGCTTCGGCCATCGCCGGAGTCTCGATTACCGCGAGTTCCCCATACCTGAGAGTTTCAATCCATTCCGGTACGGTAACACGCTCTTCTGCGCCGCCGCCCCTTCTCGCGACCCGTGCCGCATCTCCCGCCCGCGGCCTCCCTCCCCGCGCCGCGCGCCTCCGCCCCACGCAACGCGGCCCCGCTGCCCGCGCGCTCTCCGTGCGCGGCCTCCCTTCCGCGCGCCGCGCGCACGCTCTTCTGCGCCGCCGCCCCTTCTCGCGACCCGCGCTGCATCTCCCACTCGCGGCCTCCCTCCCCCGCGCCGCGCGCCTCCGCCCCGCGCATCGCGGACCCTCTCCCGCAAGCGCGCGCCTACCCTGCCTTCGCGTGCGCGCCCCTTGCTGCGTTTTCCCTATTCTACAGTTCTCCTCACAATATAGAAATCTGATGGAATCATTTTGCCTGCTTTGTTTGCATGGCTTTTGGTGTTTTATGTTTTAGAATTATTCCTAAGGAAACTAATCTGTGCGTCTATTTGCTGTTTCTATTTTCTTAGTTCTCTCATCCAACAATTTCATTTGAATTCCAGATAGTATGGCTGCCAAAACGGCTGGAGCAGTCCAAGTGCTCAAGGATGACACTGTTAAACGCACACCCATGGCACGACCTAGCAACGGTCGTGAAGGAAAGCCCATTAGGTTGCTGTCCAACCACTTTGCTGTGAAGCTTAGAGGAGTTGATGCTGTTTTCTACCAATACAGTGTAATGAACAACTTTGAAATTCTGCATCTGGTCCTTACCTCATCTATTTACTCTGAAATTACTTTTGGTTACATTGTAGGTCTGCATCAAATCTGCATCAGGTCCTTACCTCATCTATTTATTCTGAAATTACTTTTGGTTACATTGTAGGTCTGCATCAAATCTGAGGATGATAAGGTGGTTGATGGCAAGGGTATTGGCCGAAAGGTCATAGATAAACTATTGCAAACATACTGTTCTGAACTTGATGGGAAGGATTTTGCATATGATGGAGAGAAATGTCTATTTACTGTGGGACCTCTTCCACAGAATAACTTTGAGTTCACTGTTATCTTGGAGGAAACATCTTCAAGGTACATGCAGTTTTAGTTTAAACAACTTTTCAGACTGATCTGCTGAAAGTGAAAATATGACTGGTAACTGGTTATCCAGCTTAGTTTATTTAGAACTCTAGCCATTTGCTAATTTGTTTTCGTTCAAGTGGTTTTGGCCAGCCCATTTCTTACACCTTACGTTTCTTTTTAGTTGTTTCTGTATGGCTCCACGCTGCTGTTTGCATTTTTTTCTTCAATATATATGTTGCCTCGAAAACAGTCAGGCGGTAGTGAGTCACCATGCCCCTCCTTGATAACCATGATGTGGTGGTCTATCATTAATTTACAAAAGAAATTGAACCTCAACAGAGATAATACTGTTTGATATTCTTTGGACATAGTCTGTTTGCACTGTGATGATGAAACTCCAATAGGCAGCTTATATGAATATGTACTCAAAGTTCATCTGTTATTCAGGGCTGTTGGTGGAAGTCCGGTGCATGGAAGCCCTACTCAAGCTGACAAAAAGCGGGTCAAGCGATCACATCTGGCAAAAAAGTTCAGTGTAGGCATAAGTTATGCCGCAAAGATTCCTCTAAAGTCGGTTGCTTTGGCTCTTCGAGGAAGCGAGTCAGAACATGCTCAAGATGCTCTGAGAGTCCTTGACATTGTTTTAAGGCAACAGCAGGCTAAGCGGTATGCTTATTTGTTTTGTCATTTCAATAATGTATTTTCTCTGTTTGGTTACCATGTGTCTGTTGCTTGTCCTGTACAGAGGTTGTCTACTTGTTAGGCAGTCATTTTTCAGTGATGATAGTCGAAACCTTGTTGATTTAACTGGTGGAGTTAGTGGCTGTCGTGGACTCCACTCTAGTTTCCGTACTACAATTGGTGGTCTTTCACTAAACATGGGTAGGCATGCATTTTAATACATGTAACTGGATTTTGATTCAAATCGCCAGTATTGATATAATTGTTTTTCGGTTATACAGATGTTTCAACCACTATGGTTGTAACTCCTGGACCAGTTATTGATTTTCTCCTCACAAATCAAAATGTCAGAGACATCAGAGATATTGACTGGCCCAGGGTCCGTGGAATAAAATAACTCTCCCTAAAATCCTATATTATTTGTTTTCTGGAGAGCAGAGCTTCAAATATTTTATTGACTTCTACCTTTAAATGACGCAGGCCAAGAAAATGCTTAAAAACCTCAGAGTTAAAGCTAAGCACAACAACATGGAGTTCAAGATTATTGGCCTTAGTGACCAACCATGCTCTAGACAGATGTATGGATCTGTTATTGCGATGTGCTTTCTGCAGTATTCCATTCCTTTGCTGATCCTGTAATATATTATGCACAGGTTTCCAATGAAAGTTCGAAATGGAAGCATTGAAATTCAAACTGTGGATATCACTGTTCAGGATTATTTTAAGTCCAAGCAAGTTGAACTAACAATGCCTTATCTGCCATGTCTTGATGTGGGAAAACCAAAACGCCCTAATTATCTCCCAATTGAGGTTGCAACCCTGCTTTTGTTTCAGTCTACATTCTACAATGTAGTCTGGTTATCATAGTTCCCATTTTTAGATAAAGGGGTTGTCATAGTTTCTGACTGCACTTGATGTTCGAGTTGGTGCTATTAAAATTTCTATTTTGCAGCTATGCCACATGGTATCACTTCAACGTTATACAAAGGCACTGTCTTCTCAACAAAGGGCAATGTTGGTTGAAAAGTCACGACAGAAACCTCAAGAAAGAATGCGAGTTGTTACAGATGTGGGTTACTAAATTCTGTCAATGTTATTACTCCTCCCTGCTTTCTCCCAGTAACTTGGTACTTACAGCTAAAATGTGCAGGCTGTAAAAAGTAATATGTATGATGATGATCCAATTTTATCTTCCTGTGGTATTGAAATTGAGAAACAACTTACTCGTGTCAACGCTCGTGTTCTCCCTGCACCAACGGTTAGCCTATTTGCCTTTTCTTTCATTATCACACTTTCATATATGAGTCATGTTTTTTAATTGTTTGGATTGGATATGCTATTCAGCTAGTTGTGGGGAACAGCGAAGACTGCATCCCGAACAGGGGCAGGTGGAACTATAATAATAAGGTTGGTACTAAGCTACTTGCAAGAGAACACATTTATCTCAGAACATTTGTGCTGAACTTCACCCTTTTTTTTCACTATTGCAGAGGCTATTGGATCCTGTCAAGATTGAGCGCTGGGCCATTGTTAATTTCTCTGCTCGTTGTGACATGAGCCGAATCTCACGAGAGTTGATAAACTGTGGACGCAGCAAAGGCATTGTAAGTCTTTTGTGTATTTTATTTTCTTGCATGGTTTGAGGGATGGGATGGCGATGGATCATCTCAAGTTTTCAACCTAACCAACTTACTTTGTTTGAGGAACCCTCACAAACAAAAGATTAGTATACCATGACTCCATGAGGAATGGTGTGATCCAAATAAAATTGATGGGATTACCCCATGATGGGCCACACTATCTTTGTTGGGGTTGATCCTTAAAACCAAATACCCCACGAAAGCTTGAACATATTTAGTATTCTTGTTTGGCTGTGCTTTGACCATACAAGTTATCCCTTGTTTTGTGCAGTTCATTGAACGTCCTCACACCTTGGTGGATGAGGACAGCCAGTCTAGGAGATGTTCACCTGTGGAAAGGGTTGAAAAGATGTTTGAAAAAGTCAAAACAAGCCTTCCCGGTCCTCCAGAGTTTCTCCTTTGTGTTTTACCAGAGAGGAAGAATTGTGATATTTACGGTAATACGATATACAGTTACTGTTTCTATGCTACCATGTATCCTTTATGCAACTAAACTTAAAATACCTTGAAGGGCCATGGAAGAAGAAAAATCTTCATGAAATGGGTATTGTCACTCAATGCATTGCTCCCAGTAATAAGATGAATGATCAATATTTCACCAATGTTCTTCTGAAAATTAATGCTAAGGTATACATTTATCAGCATCTGATTTGTGGCTGCACCTTGTTTGAACAGATATCCTATTATTAGTTTTCTTTTTTGACTAATATGATTTTTCCTGTCGACTAGCTTGGTGGAATGAATTCTAAACTGGCATTGGAACATCGTCAAATGATATCAGTTGTGACTCAAATACCAACATTAATTCTTGGCATGGATGTTTCACATGGTTCTCCAGGTCGAGCAGATATACCATCAATTGCTGCGGTGTGTCTTGTTCTCTCTTGTGTTACTTGCATCAAGCAAAGATTGGTTTTCACATTACTTTTCATATACCTATGTGCAGTCTCATAGTTTAAATGAACAGCAAGCACAATAATTTGCACCGTGTTTAGGGAACACCAATCTGAATGTTATGGCGAATGGGCTGAAGTGTTATGGCAAGTGTGTCGGTTCTTGCCCTGGATGTGCTGCATCACTTCCTAGGATTAGTTCACGGTTTGTTAGTTTGTTCACATCTGTTAGCAGATAGAATTGATTTGTTACTTGGATAAGATTTGGGAGGTCTGTTAGGTGCCTAGTCTATAAAGGCAGCTGTGAGGCATATGTTAGGCAAGCGAAAATAGATCTGAGAAGCAGCTCAGAGTCTCCAGAGGGAGGGTGAGTTAGCTGATCTATCTGCTATTCTTCTACCCCATTCCCCAATCAGTCTACCACAACATGTTTGCTATTGGAGACCTTGATCCTCGGGGAAACAAGAACATTATTAAGATGAAAAGACCCAGGAAGGGTGGTAGCACCAGTGGAGGTAACAAGGAGAAGGGATCCATTACCAACGACAATTGAGGAGGGAACAGGGTACTGGGAAGAGGAACCGTGAGAAAGAGTACCAGCATTGGAGGTCATGTGCGAAGTAGCCCCGGAGTCGAAGTACCATTCTTGCTGAGGTGACTGTTGCAGGGTCATGGCGCTGAATTAGTGGGCGAGGGCCGACTGGTCCCAGCCTGGGGAGACCCAGGGGTTGAACTCAGGACGCGGAGAGGGCGCCCACATGTTCTGTACCAGCATGTGGAGGCCCTGACTGCTGCAGGTGTGACTGGGACGGAGGTTGCTAATGCGGACCCGTGGGGAGGGGCGCAGGGGAGGACGGGGTCCATACATCTGTATGGAACCAGCCCAAGGGTGGAGGTAGGAGGTGGGTTGGCCGCACTGTCCACTAGAGCTGCCTTGGCCGCCCCCTTGGCCATCTGGGGAGTTCCTTCTGCCGCCCCGCTTGCCCTGCCTGTTGTTGGAGGAACCGCCCCTGGAAGCAGCAGGGCCGGAGGGTGGTTGGGGCGGGTGCTGGTGAGCCTGAGGGGCAGGAGGGGGGCGCTGGTCACCTGCAGCAGATCGTTCCAGGTGCTGGACTGGAGGTGAAGGCCGATGGAGGCGAATTTGTCGTTGAGGTCATAGATCAAATTGAGGACGAGGGTGCAGTCGGGGACGTGTTCGCCGAGATCCTCGAGGGCGTCAGCCATGCCCTTGAGGCGCCTGCAGTAGTTTGTGACAGATAGGTCTCCCTGAGCGAAGTTCCTGAACGTCCAGGTGGAGAGGTCCAAGTGGAGAGCGCGCGCCTCCCGGTTCCCCAGAAACTGGGACTCCACAACAAGCCACGCCTAGCGGGCCGTAGAGCGGGAACGAGGTGCCTGGATGGTTTCGGCCAGCTCGGAGGATGGCACCGTAAATCCAGGACTTGACCACGCAGTCCATGCGAGCCTAGTCCGGGAAGGCCGGGTTGGGGTTGTCCTGCAGAACATGGTCCTCGAGGGAGAACTTTACCAAGGGGAGGAGGAAGAGGTCACACCATCGGGAGTACTGGCTGGAGTCGAAGTTGAGGACGATCGGCTCACGGGTGTGGATGTTCTGGACGTCAATGGCATGAGAGTGAAGGTTGGCGATGATCGCGGCTTCATGGAGGAGTAGGGCGTCATCAAGGGAGTGGCCGAGTGGGTAGTGGGCGCAGAATCGGTATGTGCGGCTTCAGCGCGCGCAGCATCTGTGCGCTCCCTGGCGGCCCGCTCGCGATCAGCGCCCGCCTGGCTCTCCTGAGCAGCGGCCGCGGTTTCTTGTTCAGCGAGAGCAGCGCGTTCGAGGGCAGCAGAGCGCGCCTGGGAGAGGGCCACGCTCGTACTCGGCGGCGCGCTCGCGCTCAGAAGCCAACCGGCGCTGCGGGCTTCTTTCCATGGGAACATGTTTTGCTGGGCTGCTTATCATTTTAGCCTCCAGAGAAGGCCTGACCTTGGCCTGTTGCAACACACATGCCCTGTTTCGTCTGGCCCCTGTTATAGTGCATCTATTGTTACGTGTGCTCTTTTGTGGCCTGACGTGCTGTATCAGTAGCTGTTTAGGGATTAGTTTGTTAGCAGGTAGGGTTAATTAGTGCAACAGCTTACTGCACTGGAAACATTCCATTCGTCACCTTCGGAGCTGCAAGAATCTACCTCTGCATATCACAGCTCAAGGACGAGCTGTCTTCGAAGGGTGGTGAAGTGTTATGGCGAGTGGGCTGGTTCTGGCCCTCGACATGCTGCATCACAACCTAGGATTAGTTCACGGTTTGTTAGTTTGTTCAGATTGGTTAGTTTATTCAGATTTTTTTAGCAGATAGAATTGATTTCTTACTTGTAAAAAAAATATATTGATGCGGACGTTAGCCATAGAATCAAAGCAGGGTGGATCAAGTGGCAACAAGCTTTTGGCATTCTCTGTGAACAAGAGGGTACCACAAAAGCTAAAAGGCAAGTTCTATAGAACGGCGATTAGACCGGCTATGTTGTATGGAGCAGAATGTTGGCCTATAAAGATTCGACATGTTCAACAACTGAGTGTTGCAGAAATGCGTATGTTGCAATGGATTTGCGGTCACACAAGAATGGACCGAGTTTGGAACGATGATATACGTGATCGCCTAGAGGTAGCACCAATTGAAGAAAAGCTTGTCCAACATCGGTTGAGGTGGTTTGGCCATGTCGAAAGGAGACTTCCAGAGGTACCAGTGCATTGTGGAGTCCTAAGCCAAGCTAATAATATGAGGAGAGATAGAGGAAGACCGAAATTGACATGGGGGGAGGCAATAAAAAGAGATTTGAAAGCTTGGGATATATTTAGAGATCTATGTTTGAATAGGAGTACTTAGAAAGCAGCTAGTGAAGTGCCTGAACCATGACTTGGGGCTCTTGGTGGGTTTCAACTCTAGCCTATCCCAACTTGCTTGGGACTGAAAGGCTATGTTGTTGTTTGTTAGTTGCCTAGTCTATAAAGGCAGCCGTGGGCAAGCAGAAATAGATCTAAGAAGTAGCTCAGAGCCTCCAGAGGGAAGGCGATTTAGTTGATCTATCTGCTATTCTTGTATCCCGTTCCCCAATCAATCTACTACAACAATGAGTTTATGACACTATTCTGAAAATTTAGAGCACTGTTACAGCTTGCTTTCCTAGTTTATGATTGCTGGTTTCAAGTCTTTTTTATTGCCTCCTCCCATATCAATTTCAGTCTTCCCCTACCTAAATTGAAAAGAGACTTGAAAGTTTTGGATATATCTAAAGACTTCTGCTTTAATAGGAGTGCTTGGAAAGCAGCTATTGACGTGCCTCAACTGTGATTAGGGGCTCTTGTTGGGTTTCAACCCTAGTCTATCTAACTTGCTTGGGACTGAAAGGCTTTGTTGTTGTTGTTGTTGTAATAATACTGTGCTAAAGTTTTCCTCTGTAGGTTGTGGGATCTAGATGCTGGCCATTGATATCACGGTACAGAGCATCAGTGCGGACCCAGTCTCCAAAGGTAGAGATGATCGATTCTCTATTTAAGCCATTGGATGATGGGAAGGATGATGGCATAATGAGGTGATTTAAATTAACATCTTAGTTTTCTGTGTTGTGTTCTTCTAGTTGACCTCACGGTATCTTCATTTGTCTGAAGTAGTTTTGCTCAGGAAGTGGGACCTTAGTCTGTTATCTAAAATAGAACAGGAATGGCCTAGTACCCTTTTCACTTTTTCATTGCATTGCAGGGAACTTCTACTAGACTTCTACCAAACCAGTCAACAAAGAAAGCCTCAGCAGATAATCATCTTCAGGTGTGTACTGAATTAATTTTTATTTTCAGTTATATATGTCTATGATTGTGTCATACATTGATGTAAAAAGCGCGTTTGTTTCCGGTACGAGTTTGTAAGAGACTAAGAGTGTGTGTTGGTGTGAGCGTGGTGGGTGTGCTGTAATTTATTTGTTATCTCCTTAATGCAATGATACGCAACTCTCCTGCGTATTCTACAAAAAAAATGTACATTGTTAAGCTGCGCTGAATGTATACTTCACTATTTTTTTCTCCAACTCAAAGGATCATTATTTTGGTGCAAACAGGAATGATTTGTTTTCTTGAATGATCATTATTTTGGTGACTCAAAGGAACATTTGGTCTTTCCATGTTAATTTGATTGTGTTAATTTAGAATAATGAATGTTGGTCTGGTAAGAGGTGTTTGACTCCACAGAATTTTACCAATCTTCTGCCAGGAAAGGTCAAATATCTGTAGTGCTGATTTTGTATCTATATAGTTATTGGTTTCTTTTGTAATAAAAAAAACTATCATTCTACTAATAAAAAAACTATCATTTCCTACCAGCTTTTCTTAAAATTGTCTCTGCAGTTTTTATTGAAGTGTGAGCTCTTTTGTGTTAAAGGATGAAAATCAGTTTATAGTTCAGAATTGACTTTACTTTGTGTGAAATGCATCATAAACATCCATATTGTTCTCGCCAGTAAGAACTATTTCTGAATATTCAGTTGGTGTCCTTTGATTTTCCTTTTGAGAATTGAAGTTGATACACTTCATCATTAAATGAATGTTATATTTGAGTAATTTTGTACAGTGATGGTTAATTAAATCATGTATGTTCGTTTCTATTTATTTTGTGGATGTAAGAGTATCTTTGTGGTTTCTTTTTTCTGTATTGATTTGCTTTATTTGTTCCTGCACGATGAACTGGGCATTCACTGGTGCTGTGACTTTTTTAGTGTTTCTGTCATGAGTTCTTGGTATTCAGTGTTGATGAATTCTTATCCTTATGGTCTACTTATGCAGGGATGGTGTTAGCGAGTCTCAGTTTAGCCAAGTACTGAACGTTGAGCTTAATCAAATCATAAAGGTTCTGCTATGCACTGTTTTGCTTGAGAATTCCTTGGTTTTCTGGCATTTCCTCACAAGAGTTAGACGATACAGGCATATCAGAGTATGGGACAGGGGGACCTTCCAAAGTTCACAGTGATCATTGCTCAAAAGAATCACCACACAAAACTCTTCCAAGCTGATTCACCAGAGAACGTTCCACCTGGTAAGCACCCTTGTCCGGTTGTCCTGCTTAATACTGCTAAAGATCCTTCCCCTTTAAACAGCTTGAGCAACTTGCACTGTCTTTGCATCAGGGACTGTTGTAGACTCCGGCATTGTTCATCCAAGACAGTATGATTTCTACATGTGTGCTCATGCTGGACCAATTGTAAGTTCTAGAGTAGTTTTGGATTTTGCTTGACCATGCTTGTTAGTAATTGCTTGACTAGGGATGTGTCAGACATGTTTCATATTGAGCATTACCATGTTCTCTTACACAGGGTACTTCAAGGCCAACCCATTACCATGTGTTGCTTGATGAGATTGGCTTCTCCGCAGATAATCTCCAGAAGCTAGTTCTTTCACTTTCATATGTGTAAGCACATATGTTCATGTCTATTTCCTTATTTCTTACTCTTATATGAGGATAACATGTTTGTGCTTGTATAGATACCAGAGGAGCACCACTGCGATTTCTGTGGGTACGTTGATTTTTTCTTTTGTACTAAAAAACATCACGCACTGTTTGATGGTTCTTCCTATTTTAGAAGACATTAGATGCTTTTTTTGCTGAATGCAGTTTTTGCTTTTTCAGTGGCACCTATCTGTTATGCCCACCTCGCAGCAGCTCAGATGGGCCAGTTCATGAAATTCGAAGAGTTTGCAGATACATCGTCAGGGAGTGTCAATTCATCATCGTCAGCATCAATACCAGAACTGCCACGGCTGCATGCTCATGTCTGCAGTTCCATGTTCTTCTGTTGAGGTGATTTTAGTTTGACTGTTGTGGGGTAGGGCTACTTCTTTGTGGAAAGGAAGCTTATATGTTGTTCGTACACAGCAGGTTAACTGTTTTGTGAAGAAACCAAGTAGGTCGTTAGTTGTCGTAAATCGATGTATGCCGGCATATTTTGGAGCAGTTATCGGTTCCCCACCGGGGCACCCACCCCCAAATGTAGGTACAGCTTCCAGATTTTAGGTAGCCTGTACGTTTGCATCTGCAGGTTTTTCGATTGGAATCCGGAAGATTAGGGATATTGAGAGAGTAGAGCCAGATTTTTGAGGTGGATGCGTGGTTAAATGATCTTTCTGTTAAATCCCCAGAATACGTGTGCGTTGGGGTATGAAAATGAGTTAAAATTTCTGTGTCTCGCATGTCATCCAATTGTGTTGTGCTGTATACGCTTGCTGCGTCTGAAATGCGAAAATGACCACTGCCACTCGCGACTCGCGAGAGACCACAGGAAAATTCTTGGGCTTTTTATATTCCTTCTTGTCATCTTGTGAGACTTTTGGCTGAATCTCTTTTAGGAAATGGAAAGCTTGAGGCTTTACTATGTTATTTCAGCTATAAGCAGCTGAGCGAACAGATAGGGAATTGAAAAATACAAGCATCAATAAAAAATGGTCAAAAGTTTTTAGGAACTTGATGTTTCTGTCCTGCTCTAGAGTGTAATTATGATTTTTATCTTTATTTTTTGAACTTTGTAATTTTGCCCTTACGATTTTGAATTGAAGTGTCTGTCTACCCGAATTTCTAATGTTATGTCTATAGGTGGATTAATTTAATGACAAAATATAGGGAAAAAAAAGATGTTCATGCGAAAGGTCAAGAATACACTCAATTTAACTTTTCTCCCTGGCTGGCCTCCTTGGTCCTCGCTTGTTCGTCTTCAACGTAACTGACGGTGCATAAATCGATGGCCAGGGTAGGAGATGCCAGGCCCATATTGGCAATGCAAGTTGACTCTCATGAAAATAGATAATTTCGTGGTGGGATATATAGTCATTTTTATGAGGGGGTGTTAAATACTCATGAAAATAGCTGTTTTTGTGGCAGTGTGTGGAGCACTTTCATAAAAATAAGTTTTCATTGCAAGATTTACATCACCCTTATTTTCATGAGAGCGTGTTTTCAACTCTCACGAAAAACTGCCCCCTCACCAAATCTCCATTTCTAGCAGTGTTGGGGGAGGTTCCCTCCCCACCAGTGTAAGTTTTTTTTTGGCATTTAGCTAGTTTGATTTCTTTCTTTCATTGCATTTAAAAAATCCAAACATAATAAAAATACCAAAAATATTTTCCTTTGTTTTGTATATGCTTCGTGTGTGTTTATCTCTTCGTATTCTAGATCTCTTCCTATTCTAGAAATGATGAATAGTTACCATGTTAATGTTTCTCTAGTGCCTAATTTACAACTTAGCATTTCTCCAAGTCTGGATTATTTAGCTCACATGAAACCATCATGAACCTAAAACTTTGTGGGATGCACGTGCAGCAACTAAGTCTAAGTTGTTGTGAGATAAGAGTTGCTATAATATTGTTTCCAATGAGTATGATTATCAGAGTTTTATTTTAAAAAAATGATGAATAACCTTATTGTTTGTCGATGGTAAAAAAAATCCTACCAAAAACATATATGATCTTACATGATATAAGCTTTCTACGTAAGCTACTGACTTTGTGTTGAGTTTTGTCAAGTCTTATTGATCCTTGTTGAGAGACTTGCTCCCAAGTTCAAGATCACACACACACACACACATATATATATATATATACTGCTTCTACGCTAGAAGTACGCAAAAACATACCATTCATTTTCCACAAAAATAAATGTTCCATATTCTAAAAGTGTGATCTCTCTCTAATTTTTAGATGAGACATAAGCTATGCAAAAGTAAAAAAAAATAAAAAAAATATGGACGGTACAAAGTATTAAAAAAATGTGTGGACATGAAGGTTCATGAATAGAAAAAAGGTCCATGTCTCAAAATAATAAATTAGAGAGATCGTATCAATTGGAATATTTTCATATATTATATTCCACACACATGCATATCTTGATCTAAGAGTATGACACTTCTCTCATTAGATACAAGCTTTGGCTTTACAAAATATGCAAGATATGTATGCTACATCTTTTATCCTACCCAAAGCTCCACATATGCCATTAGAAGTAGGATAAGAAGACAACTTAAAATATGCCTTAGTGAGGAGTCATACACCATTTGAGCGACATGAGAGTAGCATATGAGGAGAACATTAAGTTTTTTTTTTGAAAAAATATTGCAAAATCTCCAATATGAAACTTGTGTGGGATAAGAAAAATGGTGCTCCAAGTTAAAGTTGTTCCGTCTCTCAACCGCCCAAGACAAAGGATATGGCCATATGCCCCATGAAGGACTAAAAGAATATGGATGAGTTTTCAACGTTGCTAATTTTTCAACTCAAGGAGAAACATGCTAATGTGAAGCATAGTAGCAACCGCTAATCCACTGAGAGGCCAAGTTAAATGTTTGCTCGGGAGAAGCAAAGGTTAAGCTTTGGGGATCTTGTTGACAATGAAAATGTCACACTTTTACATAGTCAAAACAGCATAAAGATCCTTGAAATAAAAGGAATAATAGCATAACATGAGTATATTTTTATCAATAACAAGTTTTACTTGACGTATTTTCATGCAGAACGTTACAAAATGAAGAGAAATGAGCCAGTGGCACGAAACCCTTCAAATCGACAGGCCACCATCAATAGTGAGCACCTGCAGCAGAGAACAATCGAACAGTTTGAGTTGAGAAGCTCCAAAAAACAAAACAAAGAAAGAACACCATCACGTTGCATCATTCTGAAACTGGAAGCCGTTTCTACTCGCCTGTCCGGTGATGTAACTAGCGGCAGGATGAACAGCCAGGAACCCGACCAGGCCGGCAACCTCTTCTGGCCTCCCAAACCGTCCTATATATGATTTGCATCAGCAGCGGAAGTGTGAAATTAAATTCACGATTCAGACACCAACAGATGCTGAGAAGAGAAGGTTGACAGTGCTACCTAATGGTATGGTCTCGAGCGCCTTCCGTTCCACATCGTCCCCTAGTTTGGCGGTCATGTCGGACGCCACCCAGCCCGGTGCTACGGCGTTCACCTGCAAAGCCGCCAACAAGCTTAATTAGGGTATGTTTTGTTTCATTCATCTTCAGGATCGACTTCACGTATGTATGGTGCTGCAGAAGCACGGATACACTATATATATAGGAAATACTTGCATTGATGTTTCGGCTGCCGTACTCCCTGGCCATGGCCTTGGTGAGGCCGATGACCCCAGCCTTGGCGGCGCAGTAGTTGGCCTGCCCGACATTGCCGATGATCCCGGAAACTGATGCGATATTGATGATCCTTCCCTGAGTTAGGTATGTATATATTGTATGTGTATAAGCAACCAAGCAACGAGTAATAATAATGAAATAAAAATGGTGCTATGAAATCCTCTTAATTAATATATGATCGTGAGGCGTCACAGTTAGCTAGCTGTTACCTTCTTCCTCTTCATCATCACCGTCGCTGCAGCCTGCTGAACGATGAGCCCAATTAAGTTAGAAAAATGAAGTTTCATGGCTGGGGTCACATGAAAGTGGTTAACAGGCAGGACGGAAGAGGTCAAGAAGGAAGAAGGAAGATTGTGGGTGGACCTGCGCGCAGAGGTAAACGCCTGTGAGGTTGACATCAACCACCTCTTGCCACTGGGTCCTCTTCATCCGCATCAGCAGTGCGTCACGTGTAATCCCTGCTCGTTATCGTTACTCAGTCAGTCATACTACTAGTCTACTATGTACAGATCATCCGAAATTCCAGTGTGAAGTATACATATTATATAGTTGTTTAATTAAATCGAATCCTTTATTATCTAAAACTTAATTAGAAAATAATAATTGAAAGGTCAGCACGTTGCGAATGGAATAAATATTCAGACCTGCATTGTTCACCAGGACATCCAGAGTTCCCCAAGCATCAATTGCCTGCGGCAGAGAAGAGATGAAACACAATCGTGACGTAACTACAAACTCATACAACAGCACCAAATCAATGAATCTTGTACTATACTTAGTAGATTCCTATCCCTATATATATGGGTGAGCCAACATTAACTCACGGCCCTCATCATGGATTCCACGTCGGCCTCGCAAGAGACGTCGGCAGCGAAGCTGATCGCCGTCCCACCGGACTCCTCGATCTGCACGGATCGGATCACCAATTCAGCATTTTTTGTAGTTATATATGTATATGCTGTTTTCATTTTGACAGAAGAGATCAAAGAAACCATGGCATGACAATAAAATGTATATCACGAGTTTAACGCATGCATCTGGCATGATGAACACGCTGTTTGGATTTAATCATTCAATCAATCAGCGAATGAGGAATCAATTAATCAGGTAGCTCACCTCTCTGCACACTTCTTCAGCTTCCATGCCTGACTTGGCATAGTTCACAATCACCTTTAATCGACGAACAACGTAGAACGCATGTTAGGTTAATCAATAGCACCACTGTAATAACAATGAAACATCTATTCACATTGGAGTAGTGCAGTATATATTAATCTAAGTCTGCCTAATGTATCAGGTTTTCAGTAGTTTGTCGTGCAACGTACACAAAAATAACCCAAGTACGTTGTACCTACCTTGCACCCTGCTTTGCCAAGTGCCACAGCTATGGCTCTGCCAATCCCTCTAGACGCTCCAGTGACAACCGCTACCGGGGCTTCAAGCCGTGCTGCCCAGCCATCCATGGTCACGGCATCTACAGCTCTGATTCGGTCGCCTCTTCTAGTCCTGCTTGTCCTATCTACAAAAGCTGACGTTCAGATGACAGAAGCTAGTACATGTACCGCATGCTAATAAGTCATTTTTCCTTCTGATGAAACGTCAACTAGAGGCAGTAGTAATGCATGCACGTACAGTCTAAGTACGATAGGTTCCGTTGGTTGCCTGACGCGGATAGGGTCGTCGCCGCCGGCCGTCCAGAACGCTGCGGCGGCTTGAAGCTGCTGCCATGGCGGCGCTGCGGTGGCGGAGACACACAGGAGGCGGCACTTAGGCTGGCAGCGCATGATGTTGTGGAGGCAGCCATTGCTAGCTGTTGTAGAGGGACGGACTGATGATATGTTTCTTGGCAGCCACCGCAGCTCATGACGTCTTTAAAGTTTGAAGTCAGAGGATCGTTAGAGCAGAGGTCGGAAACGGAAAGATGGCTGGCTGCCTCGACGCCTAGTTGCGGATTAGATGGAGGCTTGCTTTGCATGACTGCCCAAACCGTTTGCGCTGGACTTGGCAGGCTGCTACATATTCGTGGATGGAAAAGATGCATGCGTTTCAACCATTGGATGGTCTCGTCCAGTACTCCTCCATGTGTTGGTGGATGGAAAGTGTGCTCTGTAGTCCTAGAACATTAGACGCAAGGTAATAATTGAACAGTTTAATGTATATATTTTACTCACCATATTAGCAATTTTTTGACAACGACCATATTAGCAATTGCTGATAATTGATCACAAGGTATTATGGAGACAAACATAGATACCAGTATGGATACATCCATGACTTTCTCGACATATTTCTCCACTTCCATCTCGATACAACAAATCCTCGATCTGGTAGTGTAGCAACTCTTAAGTGTACAAACAGACGTATATAATATTGCACACAAAACAAACTCTTACCATTGGCACATATCTCATAAAAACGATGTATATTTTATTCTCAAGAAATGAAATGACAGTTAACAGTAGTTCACTTCAAGTATTAATCTGAGCTCTGCAATCGACTACATTTAAAAAAGTTTACTGCTAGATATATTTACCACCAGATTCATCATGCACCTTTTCATATCAAATAGGAATGCAATAACATGGACAATGTACCATAAAGAGAAAACATGTACCAACCTGAATCATCTGCACAAGACATTTCAGGTTAATTATTTTAAACATTTTATTGATCTAGCTATATCTTCACTTGCTAGGAGATTTGAACAACATTAGGAATTCCAAAATACTTTTGGTTTCCTGTTTACTTCAGATAAGCTATGCTCTTTAATTGGATGATAAAAGCTTGCTTTCCTCTTGTGTCAATCTAGATGCTGCACTTAAGGGTGGAAACATACAAACATTGATGGAAGAGAATTATATTTATATGTGGAGTTAAAGTTCATCCAACATGATATTGACAAATCTATGGGCCCTCTTGATATTATGAAGTATTTTGAAACAGCATGGTTCTTTTGCAAACACCGTTATATATTGCATATAGAATTTCGTTAACCATTCCTGTTACTGTAGCATCTCCGGAGTGCAGCTTTTCTAAATTCAACTTGTTGAAGTCCTACTTGCGATCAACAATGACACAAGGAAATCTCAATGGATTAGCGACAATAACACTTGAAAATGATATCTTGGAGAAAATCAAGTATGGAACTATAATTGGAGATTTCATTTCAAAGAATACTAAAAGGATGATACTTTTCAGTAGAACCTAAGGTACTACTTTTATTGTTTTAGCATTAAAATTTGATATGTTTTTAGTAGTGTAAGAACCACATATATTTTGGAACTTTATAATTATGCAAAAGTATGCTTTGGTTATGTTGTTTCTCGATTTTAGGACCCATTATGTGTTTTGCACATGGGACTTTAATTCATAGGTACGGCCGTGAAAATTACTTCCTCCATTTCAGTTTATAAGACAATTTGCGTAGGTCATTAGTCAAACTTTATAATATTTGACCAACAATTTATTACGACTATAATAAAAATTTGATACTATTAAGTTTATAACCAAATGAATTATCATTAATAATAAAGAATCAAAAGTTTAATTTAGGAAGTCGGTTGATATCATGCTACGCCTTGTAAGAGCAAGGATATAATACGTAAGCCAGGCTTATACCAATGCCATGTAACTAATAGCCTTCACCAATAGGCTAGAAGAGAGTTGGCTGTAGAAGAGAGTTAGACATTTATTATTTGCATGTGTGCACACCAGCTGCTAGTGGCAGAGTAGCTTTATTTTCTAAATTTTTAGATTAAGGAATAAAAACATATTCTATAGTCTCTCCTATCCACACGTGAATGAGTATAGTTGTTCATTACAACTCAGAGGTACTTAGACTAAACACCGCTAGATGGAACACGGCTAGGTCCAAACGATCAAAAGTTGACCCACAACAAAAGACAACCAAAACTTTGTTCTTTATCATTCTTTGGTGACTCTAACCCAACTTCCCAAAGACTTCGATCACCATAATTTCTAAGCACTTGTGGTGCTATTCTCACTTCCTCTTTAGACAACAGAGACCAAAACATGATCTAATACATCCCCTAAAGATTACCTGCAAGAAAGAATTAGTATATGTTTTCGTTAAACACAACATCATTTCTACTAGCGCTGGCGCCCGGCCCACGCGGTCCCATTCGTCCATGGCCTGGCCAGCGCCTGTGCCTGCCATCGCGTTATGCCGTTAGAGCATCTCCAAGAGTATATAATATTTTCTTCAAAAAACAAGGGGTTTTATAACTCTAAAAAATATTGGAAAGAATAACGAAGGTGTCGGCACAAAAATGCGTCGACACACAGCAAGCCGGAATGATCTGCTTAGGATGATGTCACACCCAATTTTAAGGATAAAATTGAATGCACTGAACTCATGTGTGCCCAGGGATCAGTCACACACATAAGTTTACAAATTATAAAAAGTATCATCACGGTGTATCTTACATAACGAATAATAGCATCACATAGTCTTACACATCACAGCGGAAGATAAAAAGATAGCTCTCTTGTGGTAGCTCCAACACAGGGACGGTCGACTGGTTGACCCCAAGCCTAATAGTCCTCAGGGAACTCCTCATATCCGTTGTTGTCTGTTACCCATCCGGGATTTTTATCCAAATATATAAAATAAACAAGCGTAAGTACTTCCCGTACTTAACAAGATAACATGGGGTTCATGAGGCTCAAAAAGGATGACACTGGTTTACTGCAGTTAGCACTTTTAGTAAGTCAAGATTTTATCGTCAGTTATTATCAAGTTATGCTTAAGCTCCCATTTAAACCCACATGATCATATATCCAATCCAATTGAGTCATGTAACATCATCATAATATCATCATAATCATCTCGTGTAAACAACATTATAAGTAGTCATCTATTCTGTGAGTTTTCCGGGCCGCTCGTGACCGTGAGCACGGTCATTTTATAATAGTTTGTTACCCTCTGCAGAGGTGGTGCACATTCACCGCGAGTCGTGATTCCCATATGCCCGGTTAATTACTCCCATATCACTTTGCCAAGGTGAGCGGGCAGGGTACACTATGAAGCCATTTCATAGGTTTCTCTAACAAGTTAGGGCCGCTAGGTTTCCTTGACAGGCAGATGTAGGAACCCCCTTTCCTATGGCACATATCCATCGCGGCTATACACATAGGAACAGCAGGCGATCCTATACCCAACGTGGCAAGCCCTTTTGCGCCATAAAGGTAACCTCTAACAAGCTAGAAAATGTCCTATTACTGAGCTAAAGTCAGAGCCATATGACTCTCACGGTTGCCTTTGTCGGTCCAGCTTTTGCCGACAGATAAGTCCTTATGGAGGGCGAGAGAGCAAAGATGATCGAAAGTCATTTGCTCCATCGCCCTATAATCCAGATTGTTTAAAACAACTTTTACCTTTTCTTTCCATAGAATCATTTGTTCAATATGTAGCTCATGTATAGTTATGTTGAGCACTAGCAAACTACCCATATGCATATAACCCATAGGAGACAAGGAACAGGATAATCAATCACTAGGATGTCCTTACGGGTATCAAAATTAGACATATGCAAATGAGTAATTAATAAAGGTGAATAGGCATCAAGGTAGATCCCATGCTATACTTGCCTTGGTTAGCAAACTCCTGCTGGTCCTGCTGGTCGTCGAAGTATTCTTGGTCTCCAACGTTCCCCTCACCGTCTGAACGCGACCAACACGGCAACATACAACATTCCAAAGGCATTCATGCAAAGCAAACAATCCTATAATTAGAACAGTACACCAACAGTATAGAAAACAAGATAAAATGTTTATGAAAATAATCTACGTCTCACTACGATCACGTCGACGCGAAGTTCACGAAAAACGGAGCTAAAATACGAAAGTTATGATTTAAACAGGATTTCCTATAGCAATATATTTAATTAATTCTAACCATGAAATTTAAAAGTCTCAAACTTGACTAACAGTGGTTCTAACATGTAGATTATGAAATTACGAAGCTAACGCAATTTGAACGGATCAATTCGAAGCTAAAACGATGATTTTATAAGCAAAATATTCAAATGGCATTTACGTAAATACTAAAAACGTACTTTAAATTAACACGATCCAACTTTACGCTTCAAAATGAGAAAGCGTACACGGGAAATACGCTAAGGACGGTGGGTTTTATTACATGAAAACAGAGGGCTCTTTAGCATATTCACCCGCTGAAGGGTATTATAACAAATGGCATTCGGATTTAAACGAACGGCGGCCGAAATAGATCCGGGAGAGAGAACAAGGGTGGCGGCGGAGCAGTCGCGGTCTGGCGGCAAAAGCGCCATTGCCGGTGGCGTGGAGGTCATCGGAGCGCGTGGTACAGGGGCTAGGGGCCACGGTTTTCCCAACCGAGGGCACCAGGAGGTGGCGCGGGTTCATGCGACCTCGGCCATGCCGAGAAGACGGCCGGAGGAGAGGTCCGAGGCAGCGGTCGCCATGGCCGGCGAGCAAGAGCTTCCCGGGCGCACGCGAAACGGCCATACAAGCCACCAAATGCCAAGGTAAAAGGTAGGGGAGAGAGAGGGGAGCAAGGGGATTCTTACCACGGGGAAAATAAGGTCGGAGATGGCTCGGGGACGGCGGCTCGCGCACGGTGGATCCCAGCGTTCTTGGCGGTTCGCTTCGAGGCGTGGCGAGAGCGAAAAAATGGAGCGGGAGCGAGAGAGAGGACGCTGCAGGGGGCTCGGCCGCTTAAAAAGAGGCGGGGCATGGGAGAGGCGCTCCCACGCGCCGCGCATGGAGCGGGTGCGGTTGCGGCGTCGGTTCCGTGCGACTCGG